CCATACCCTGTATATTGATGGATAAACTGGTACTTAATAAATCCTCGACAACTAAAGGAACGGTAAAGACCAATAAGTAGAGTTAACAACAAGATTCATTTCAAGCAGCTGCAATTGTTAATTGGATACATATAGCATATAGCGAATCTGAACAAAGTAACTTTCATGCGTGCGCGTGTGTTTCTATTTATTATTTTTTTCCCAATTTTTTTCTTGGTGTTTTCCATACTTTTCAGCATCGAACAAGCAATCTCCACTCATTACCAATTTATTATAAAAATAAATTGCGAGGTGAACTTTTCAGTACCACATATGATTAAAACATGGCAAAGATTATATGCTCCAAAAACCTATAGAAATTGGAAACATGGGCTTCCATAGTGAGACGATGAGTCAAAAAACATAAAAGATCTATACGTAACAAGAAATTCAATACTCGATATGGAGATGCATATATGTAAATCCCATGAAGATTTTGGGAGAAACGATGCAAATAACAAAGTCAAGCACTTGCCTGGTGTTAATGGAACCATCTTTATTATAATGCTGAGCCCCAACAAGCTTCTTTCCTACTTCCTGTAATTGTTGCCTCAGAGCCACGGAATAAACTACAGAAAAAACAGAAAAAAAATTCCAGTTATTGAAAACAAAAAATTGCTGGATACTAGACCATTCAAAATTCTACAACCAAAAAGGAAAGGGCTTACCATCTCCAGTGTTTAAACCAATAAGTAAATCATGCCCATCCTTCGAGTCAGGGTCAAATGCATGGCAAACAGGATTCGAATTACCAAAATGTATAGACTTAATAGGATCCTATGCAGAATATCAGACCTCTCAAAACCAATCCATAGTGAATCTCATAATAAAAAGAAAGTATATAACCACTAGTACCTTATCCTGAGAATTTAAGTCACTAATGAAAATTGCATCACCAACATTGAACACCAAGTAAGTCCCTTTGCCATCATAATTGCCAACCGCATTATTTGAACTTGAAGCTCCCAATGATCCAATTCTACTGCCGACACCACTCACTGACTTACTCCCACCATTCCCTCCAACAAAACTAAGTGCTTTACTCCCATTTCCACCACCTAAGAGCCTTGCTGCCGCTGACCTCACACCACTGCTTACACCCAAACCTGAAGATGATTGTGATTGAGTCTGCACAGGCTTATCCTTGAGATGGGCTAGCGTTACCTGACCATCAATTAACTGAGAACACTTTAAAGTCTGTTTCAAGTTTTGATTTTCCAAAACTGTTTTTTCCAAAACTGTTTGGCTGAGGAAAATAAACCACCACTGCTTAGGAGAGATAGGAAAGGGAGAAAAAAAAAAAAAAAAAAAAACCCG